AGCTGCATAAAAAGGGAAAGGTAGAGCAGTCCGGTAAGGGGGGGGGGGGGTGAGTGTGTGATAATATACCAGGCCACATGCCCTAAACATGGTCGGGTGCCTGTGTTAATGAGGACCAGGGCTTCATTTGCACAAACATGTCCTGGAAGTGGTGGGAGGTCTGCGGTTGGTGGGTTATTCAGAATCTGAAGGCCCCCTTTACAAATAAAATAGACCCCACCCCTCTACGTAAATGAGTATGATGTACATAGTAACCTTAATCATCAAAAAAGAGTGAACGTGTAAATAATGACAATTGACCTATATAAAAAAAGTCCAACACTTCACTTCCATTGTCTATTATGTGGTCCATTGATGCAGATCCTGGTGTGCGATGCCCAGCACATTGCTAATGTGCCAATTCCAGCACATCTCACTATTTACTTTTTAATTTTTTTTGAACTTTATTGAAATGTTAAAAGTGACATTTCATTAAGTTTTATGGGCAGAGCATGGTGGAAGGTGGTTGTTCAGTATTGCATTACACTGTGCTGAAACAAAAGTAGTGCATGCTGTACTCTTTGCAGTGCACACCACCTCAATATACAGTGGTGCGGTGGTGTGAACTGCAATCATCTGTGACAAGGCAAATTGCCTTGTCTTCCATTGTGACTGTGGTGGAAAAAATAAAAGTAACATATAAAAAAGTAAAATAAAATAAAAGTCACATATAAAAAAAGGGGAAACCCCCCCCCCAAAAATACGTAAACCAGCAATTATGAGTATGCACAGCAGTGATTATGAAACCAGCAATGATGAGTATGCAGAGCAGTGATTATTTAACCAGCAATGATAAGTATGCACAGCAGTGATTATAGCACAGTAGACCGATGACACAGTCTTCCAGTCTAGTCAATGAGGAGACCTGGTGCTATAGTGTGCTATAGCCCAGGGTACTTGCGTTACTGCTGGGTATGCGTCCGGAGTTTCAGTAGTTGACTCGTTAGTCCAGTTCCAGAGGAGCGAATGGAGCGCTGAGTTGATCAGCGTCCTGCTACATCAATAGTGGGACGCCGATCAACTAACGAGCGGCGGCTTTAAGCCGAGCACTCGCTCTAGAGGGGGCGGAGCTACAGGGCGCGCCTGCGCAGGACGTAGAGCCGGGCAGAGAGAGAGACGCCGGCGATCCGCAACACGCCTGCGCAGCACGATCACGGGCACTGCCACCAGAGGCCATCACCTGACGTGGGCGACCCGAGGAAGAAGGGGCCCGATGTGCCCGCACAGGCCCGCGACGGACGGCGGCACCTGACCTCACCAGGGTACGTTCCTTACACAACAAGATGCTGTCCCACCTAGCTATGTGAATGAGAAAGGGGTAGATACAGTAGTACCCTTACTCATGCACCAAAAACAATTGAAAGTTTAAATAATGATACTAAGACATTTGACAAGTCTTGCATAAAAAAAAGTCCCACACTGCACATCTTTTCTCTATCACATTGCCCAGTGATGCAGATCCTTATCAAACACAGTTTGATAAACAATGCCCGCAGAGCACTAAAATGTTTTTTATGACAGACATATTTTTCAAATTTACATAGTTACATAGTATTTGAGACATAAGTCCATCAAGTCCAACCTATTCTCATTCTTAGGAGTACTTGTACCCCTGTATATTACGGTCCCTCAGTAAATCGTCCAAAAGCTTCTTGAACGATTCCACACTCTGAGCTGAAATCACTGCTGGTGACAGTGAGTTCCAGACCCTAACCGCTCTTACTGTGAAGAACCCCCTTCGCCCCTTGTGCTGGAATTTCTTTTCCACCAGTTTTAGGTGGTGGCCTCTATTTTTTGTAATGGGGTTAATCTTAAAGAGTTTGTTGCTAATATTGCTGTCACCATTGAACATCTTGTACATTAAAATCATATCCCCCCTTAATCTCCTTACTTCCAACGTGAACATGTTTAAATTTAGTAGCCTCGTCTCATAGCTCCGGTCCTCCATTCCCCTAGTAAGTTTGGTTGCCCTCCGCTGGGCTCTCTCCAGCTCAAGGACATCTTTTTTGAGTACTGGTGACCAAAACTGGACCGCGTACTCCAGATGGGGCTGAACCAGTGATCTATAAAGTGGCACAATTATAGACTTGTCCCTGCAATACATCCCCTTCTTAATACAGGACGGGACCCCACTAGCTTTGCTTACTGCAGCCTGGCACTGCAAGCTACCATTCAGTTTGTGGTCTACAATGACCCCCACATCTTTTTCTATTTCTGACTTCCCTAGTGGCATACCCACAATTGTATAACCCATTTGCTTATTTTTATTTCCAAAGTGCATTACTTTGCATTTATCGACATTAAACCTCATCTGCCATATAATTGCCCACTCCCCTATTTTATCCAAGTCCTCCTGTAATGTTATACTGTCTTGATCCGTTTCTATTACCCTCCCGATTTTTGTATCATCTGCAAACACTGAAACATGACTATTCACACCCTCCCCGATGTTATTAATAATTAGGGTGAACAGCATGGGACCCAGCCCAGAACCCTGAGGTACACCGCTCATGACACCAGCCCAGTTTTGAAAGGAGCCATTTATAGATATCCTCTGGATACGATCCCGTAGCCAGTTCTCTATCCATGTACACACCACTTCATTCATTTAATTTTTGTGATTTCTGTTTTTCTTATTATAATAAACAAACTTCCATTGCCTCAGTTTTTTATGACAGCTATGTTATCCTTATATAACTTTTAGAAAAGAGGAAGGAGGTTTTTGTACGGCTCTATATCAATGTGTGAGAGGGTAATGCTGATACTGCTGACAGTAATAACGTCCTTCATCATCTTCAGTCACTCCAGTAATTGTTAACTTGAATTGAGTCCCAGAGCCTGAACCACTGAACCTATCCGGGATCCCGGATTGCCGATTGCTGGCACCGTAGATAAGAAGCTTTGGAGGTTGTTGGGACTTCTGTTGGTACCAGGCAAGGTAGCTACTCACACCAGCACTGGATGTACATGTGATGGTGGCTGTCTGTCCTGGGGACACAGAGATAGAATCCGGAGTCTGAGTCATCACAATCTGTCCACAGGATCCTGAGGATGAGAAGAGACATATTGATTATTGATAAATGTCTGTATTTCTTCCTATCAATCCTGATGTGTGTATTTATTGTACAATGTATAAATGTATGTGCAGAGGATGATGGAAGGAGCCTCATCTCTCACCCTGAATAGAAATGAAGATGACAGCCAGCAGATAACTGTGAGAAAGCATCTTGAAGTTTGTGGAGTGTCAGATACAAAGTAGAAGATGTCTCCTGTACAATGAGATATATAGAGAGAGTGACAGGGGAGATGTTACACCCCACACACTGTGTATGCAAATACCAGGAGATGGAAATTCTGTGGTCGGCTGTCACCTGACTGAATATAAAAATAGATTCAGTTGAGTGCAGAAAACCATTCATAGTTTGTGTCACAATTTATAGTTATGGATTAAAGAATACCAAGAATATGATCAGTGTGCCCTTGAATAATGTGAATTAGCACCAGGCACAGATTGCCCATTCTGCTGCTCTGCAAAAAAAATATTTTGTGTTGATGTGTGATAACAGCTGATTCAGAATGTAGCACGTCTTAATGTAGCACGTCCCAACCAGTGGGTTAACGTAATGCATAGTGTGAAAAGGCAATTAATGACTGTAATTTCATATAGTACTTGGCCATGACACCAAACCTTCTTATGTAAAGGTATATGTAGACCTTGGCCACAGAGTCTGTAAAAATCACCCCACAAACAACAGAAATATAATTGCAGACCCAATGTTTTCAACTTGTATCCTTTTTCAAAATTGCATGCTTTACTCACAAACCATACAGCCATTGATTAGACTTTTCTTTTTACCCCATTGTGACATTGAGCCCCTTGCCTTCTATGCACCTTACTTGGACTACAAATGTCCCATATCTCTAATAGATAGGGGAGGTGTTCTGAAATCCGCAGAAGATGGCAGAGAAAGCTTAGGATGTTTGAGATTTAAGTTATGTGCACAGAAAGTTTAAAGGACACAAGGTTTCTAGCAGGACAAACAGATATTGTCTGCTCTTGCTGTAAATGTTCCTAGCTTGAGAAAAGAAAAATAATGCAGCCATCATATCTAATGACTAGTGAGCTGCTAAATATTACATTTCTGGATGCTTTAGATCAGGGGTGCCCATAATTTTTTGTGTTAAGATCTACTTTTCAAATGATGAGCTACATGAGATCTACCAACGAAAAAAACTCCCTCGCTCTCTCTCTCCTGGCTGTCTCTCCTTGCTCTCTCTACTGGCTGTCTCTCCTCTCTCTCTCTCTCCTGGCTGTCTCTCCTCTCTCTCTCTCCTGGCTGACTCTCTCTCTCTCTCTCTCCTGGCTGTCTCTCCTCTCTCTCTCTCCTGGCTGTCTCTCCTCTCTCTCTTTCCTTGCTGTCTCTCCTCTCTCTCCTGGATGTCTTTCCTCTCTCTCCTGGCTGTCTCTCCTCGCTCTCTCTCCTGGCTCACCTTCCTGTATTTTGCAAACAGTACAATGCAACAGGCTGTGTAAACCAATTTTCTTTGATGTAATACATAGCAATTCAACCACCAGTATCCACCAGAAAGGTGTCAGGGAGCTTGGCTCAGCAGACTCCGGCTAATAGGTAATCATGTGTGCACAGCGAAATAAATATACCAAAATGGAATAAAGGGGCCGCCATTCACACCCTTTGTGATCTACCAGCATCAGCTTTGAGAGCTACTGGTAGATCACGATCTACCTAATGGGCACCCCTGCTTTAGATACACTTTAAGATGGTTTTGGAAGATGTATTAGGTTTTAAATGACCCTAGGGGGGATGGAAGCTCTTTTTGTCTATCCCATACCTGTTTTTGTGCAAAAAAGGGCCACATTATTTGCCTAATTTTACTTTTTTCTCAGTAGAAAAGTAGAAAAAATTAAAGTATGACTATAAAGTGAAAGAGAAAAACACAAAGAACACTAAAATAATGAAATAGACTAAACTATCCTAAATACACCCCCCTAAAAATAAGAAAAATAGATAGAGGAAGCCATTATTCTGTTAAATCGCAAGATAAGGAGTAGTAAAACACAACCATTGTGTAGCACAACAAAGCAGAAAACAGAGCCTGCATATGAGTAAATATGTCTGCCACTGTGAACATATTTCATTACAAATAATTACTGCCAATGTACCACAATAAACCAGAAAATGCACTTGCACTATTTTTCCTGGCACAGCACATCACAATGCACTGTGCTGCATCACCATACATTGAAGTGTGCTGGAGGTAAGGTTGTCACCTTTTCTGTGAAAGAATACAGGGCCTCATGAACTCTTCCCTATTAATAACCTTGGAAACAAATCCCATTTCTACCATCCAGACCAGCAACATACTGGCTGGGTAGCAACCCTAGCTGGAGTACCACCTGGAGTGCCATTGCAATGTTCTAACACTTGCATGGTGTGCTTCCAACACCAATGCATAGCTGTGAAGCTGAACTTAACAACCTCCCTACAGCTGTATGGTAGAAAAATGGCGGGGAGGTTGATGTCTATTTCTGGAAGGACGTCTATAGATGTCATCTTACAAATGGTCACAGGGCGTCTGCTGACCCCTTTAGTATCTGTGCCCATATCACAACTTTAAATCCAGCTGCAGACAGCTGAGTACATAGAGACAATGTACAGGGCCAATCCGGGTGGCTCTGTGATATGTGATTGGTGTGATGACTAATTACAGAGGTCACATGTTACTGTTGTGATATTTGGATAATGGTAAGCATGCAGGGATCAGTCTTAAAGCTGTTTTTTTCTTAAACAGGAACAGTTTTTATTTTTCCTAAAGGATAACAACCAAGGCGATCCAATAAAAATAGCTTATCTTCAGCATATAGCAAAATGAGGTCCACTTATCTTCAGCATATAGCAAAATGAGGTCCACTTATCTTCAGCATATAACAAAATGAGGTCCAATTATCTTCAGCATATAACACAGTGAGGTCCACTTATCTTCAGCATATAACACAGTGAGGTCCACTTATCTTCAGCATATAACAAAATGAGGTCCACTTATCTTCAGCATATAAGAAAATGAGGTCCACTTATCTTCAGCATATAACAAAATGAGGTCCAATTATCTTCAGCATATAACACAATGAAGTTCACTTATCTTCAGCATATAACAAAATGAGGTTCACTTATCTTCAGCATATAACAAAATGAGGTTCACTTATCTTCAGCATATAACAAAATGAGGTTCACGTATCTTCAGCCCAACATAAAACAGAGTCTCACCGACGTAAGTCTTGCTCACAGGTACAACACCAGAGTTCCAGAGCTTTTTAGTAACTTCCCACAGAACAAATAGTACGTAATACCCAGTCCAGATCAGCAGCTTACACACCTGTGCTACTCCAACTCCTCTACACCTTCTGTGGAGTTTCCTGTGTTTTTTAGCCACTTTCTCCTGCCTGGCAGTTAACACTCTGCTGGCCCTTAAAGGGACCACAACCAACATAGAGGGGACACATACCAACCTTCCAGGACCAATCCCTGGCATCCTTGCACACTGTTTACACCCAGGGTCCCCCCACCTTATTCTTACTACAGAGGAAGGAGATTACTCTTTGTAGTTTGTGAATGGGAAAATCAATACAGCTGATCTACAGCAACTGACAATTAATTTATTGAATCTCATTGACGCAGGCCTTTTTAACCCTTCCACTGCTCATCATCTCCTAAACTACTGGTCTCCAGTCTGCCTCTGTATTGTGACCTGTATATTAACCCCTTCATCTCCTGATCCCTCTATGTATGCACTGATGTGGTGTATCCAGTTCACCATTACCAAGCTCTGTGTTTTAACCCCTCAATATCACCATGTTCCTTCATTTGCAAAAAGTTTCAGCAGAAAATTAGATCACCTTGGGGTGTCTACTGTCCAAAAAGATTTCATTTTGGCAGTTGTCTGTATCTTCCTAGCATTTTTTTTAACAGAAAGTAGGGATTTTTTTTTTAAATGTTGGTAGTTTTTACCTTTTGTAGTAAAATATAAAAATCCCAGTGGTTATTAAATATCACCAAAATAAAGCTCTATGTCAAGGTCTACCAGTAGATGGTGGTATCTTCTAACATATTGCAGTATTGTGTTATACGGAGTCATTATGAGAAAGGTCTGGGGAAGTAAAGATAGGAGTGATTCCTTTTATTGACTCATTGGATATATAAATAATGTGAGTTTTGGGAATACTAAGGGAAGCATTTATAAATCAGGGTTATGACCTTACTGTGCCCATATCCCAACTTTAAATTTAAAAATAATATTGCCACACATGTATAAAGCACAGCGATGTTCTATGCAAATGTTCATTGCTCTCTTTATGACTCTGCAAATGAAGAAAGGACAATTTAAACAGGGGGACTGCCTGGTTGGACCTCTCAAAGACATGTACCTGTCTTGTCCTTAGAGTATATTTCCATGTTTACAGCCAAATTGGGATATTGGGACAACACCTTTTTATATTTCTTACATGTTCACATTTACATAGTACAACTATTTTTTTATTTTAATTGCTGCTTGCACAATACATGTTCTGTTCTGAAAGAAATGTTGTCCTCTGTGCTGAGTTTTCCTCTGGGATGCATGGTGGGGTGGGGGTTAAGGTTAATTTAAACATTAATTAACAATTTTTGTACTGTGCTGGCAGATCGCGTAACAGTTATAAACCAGATTTGAACACTCTCTGCCACAACAAAGGGCTAAAGATCTAGAAGCATTGTATGGTAAAGAGAGGAAGCCCAGTCTCATTACAGACATTGGAATCAATAAAGAAGGTGAAAATAAAGTGTAACTAAACTTAAAACAAAAAAATTTATTCTATTGCAACTTGCCAGTCCTCTGATGTGGTGGTTGCATTTGTTTTCTTTAACTGCCTCCGGGCCGGCCGTAGTAGAAAAATCCTGCCAGTAACACACTTCCTGTCCTAAAGTGACAACACTCACACTGTGCTGTAGTAATGGTGGAGTAACGTTGTCACTCTAGGCAGCTCTCCCGATTAGGACTACAAATGTCCCCATCTCTTCTACACAAGATGGCTGGGAAAGCTAATAACATTGTTTTGAGATTTCAGTTTCAAGACTTCTAGCAGGATCAACATTTATTTTCTGTACTTGCTGCAAATGTTCTTAGCCTTGAAGAAAAAAATGAATGCAGCCACCACATCTAAGGACTGGTGAG